AAGGGAAAACGTTCCTTTAAAAAGTATGAGCAGCATCAGTCAAGGAGCATCCTTTTCTGCGGGCTCGCCAGGGGACACACCACCCATCCCCTTCCCCAGCATCAGTCTGACTCAACCACACACAAGCATTAGCAAGACGCATGGTAGAACCATGACAATCTTTTCCTGGAACTGTTGAGTTGCACTTGGTGGCTGCTCACTTTGCCTTTGCTGGGAGCCATCCCTGAAGGACAGACAGCCTTGGGCTGTGTTTGGCCATTTGTTTTGCAAAGAAATATTTCTGGAATACTTGTTGGATGTTTTCAGAGCTCTGTTTCTCCCCTCATGACATTTCAGACGCTGCTATATGGTATTACTCTAGTGTCCCAAAGGTGAGGCAAGTTTTTTGTCTCCTTTTGCCGTTCTCACCTTTGGGCTTTCCAGCTTAGAGTCCTTCCCATTACACCCAATCCTGAGACACCATTGCCCAGTATCTAGAGGAGCCATCAGGCTGTATTTTGTGAAACCTGGAGTGAGACGGGAGCATAAGAAACGCTATTTCCATTTCACCGCAGGTAGTAGTTTTGTGAGTGATGCTGGAATTTTAACTTTAGAAGAAAAATGAAGCTTTTCCAGAGTAATCTTCAATGAGCAGGGGAGTTGGACTAGATAATCTCTAGAGGTCCCTTCCAACTCTGAAAATTCTGTGATTCTGAGCTGAAATATCAGTTTTCATTAAAAAATCCTACTCTGATGGAAATTCTTTTACCAGAGCTAGTTCCTGACTACCAACTACACAACAGCCTTCCCTCCTCCTGCCCTGCTCTGCTCCCACGGGTCATGGCTGCATCCAGATTCCTCTTGCTCCAGGGAGCATCTTGGACAAGACATGTCTGGTATGACCCTTTCATCCCTGCATGGCACAAAGCTGAGAGTCCTCTTCTGACTTTTTTTAAATCAGAAATTCTTGCATGTGTGAGTAGTTACCCTTGTGAAACTACAAAAAAAGTCTTTGAGAGAAAAAAAAGCTGGATAATTTGCAGGTTTTTCTTCTTCCCTCCCTCATCCCCTGCAACCCCTGTTGTAAAAATCAGACACAGCAACAATTCACAGCAACATTTTAGACAGGTTTGTGCATGTATTTGGTACAAACAAACAAAAATATGTGCATTTTGTTTCATAGAGCTTACATCAATCTGACAGAACTTGAATCACAAAACAGAAATACTCTGGCTAATAAATACATCTGGGGATGAAAAATAAAAATCTATACATAAAAAATTCCAATGTCTGCTAAAGAAAATGTACACTTATATACACACTGTAAACAATAGTAATGCAACCCAACTGCAGTCCAGCTCAGGCTGACAGGGACCTTCCTTCCCCCTTAAATTGGACTCGTGAGAGTCTACTGACGTAAAAACTGCTGTTCACCATCCTGCACACTCAGTTCGTCCAAGCAGTAAGGTCTGATGATGCAATAGTGACACAAAGCCAGAGCAATGAGGTGAGAGCTGCTGCGTAACCAAGATAGGGGTACTTTGGGAAGTGGCCTGCTTGGCAAATTTGGAGAAATGGGGCCATACCCTTAGCTGGTCACATCCTTGTGGGTCCAGAGAAGTTGGTGGGATCAGACCAAAATTACCTCCTGAAGGTCTGAGCCCATTTTTCCAAAGTTGGGAGAGCTTGAAGATTAAGGGAATCAGAGGGAGATGCACAATTTTAGATACTCATGTCATATTTCATACAGCATTGTCCTTCCTCCCCTGCCAGCAAAGGCAGCCCTGTCTGCTCTAAATGAAGCTCCACATGAACAGCCTTAGAGTCTGGTCCTGGCATTGCCTCCTCTGATGCAAGGTGCTAAATGAAAGGGGGGCCCTGGCTTAGGTAAGAAACAAGCATTTTGCCTGAATGCAGCATAGAAGAGCTCAAGACATTCCTACAGCACCTTCTAGGGTATCTCTCAGGGACTAATCAAATGCAGTAAGTAAATGAGCCAGAGTTTGGGCATTTCTCTGTGTGCATGCATATGTGTGCTTAAACAGATTTTATCATAATTTTTCTCCCCCATAGGTCTGTAAAGAATTGGGATGGAGAGGCAGTAAACCTCCAGACTAATCTTTTTGTTTCCTTTCTGCATGCTTTCCAGGGGCAGGAGGCTGCAAATGTAAATATTTCAAAACTGGAAAAAAAGAAAGAAGTATATTTAAAAGATCAGGTAGACACGTAACCGATACGTTCAAGTCTACGTTCAACTCATTTGTGGGAATGAACTACTTGCCAGCAATTGCTAAACGCCCCTGCAAAGTCTCCATTTATAGGATAATGTTTGCCATTTTGGAGATGACATTTGTATGTATAAATGTAGCAAAATGTGTATGTGTATCTGTATGGTCATGTATGCACATGTTACTATGTGCTGTGAGTGTCTGGCTGTGGAGAGACACCAGAAAAATATGCTCCTGAGCATCAGAGAACATTTAATGGCAAATGTCCATCTTACCCCTTGATTAGACTTTCGCTTCTGATGACGTCTGCATCAGCTCGTCCTAAACTGTACCCCCAAATTGCTTATATTATGTACTTGCATGCGTTAGACCTGCAAGGTTGTGTCACCAGGGGCCAAAAATGCAGGTCTGTGTGCACTTACTCCCTCCAACAGTGGCATGTGTGCACGTGCATCCCAAGAGGTGGGTGGAAGGTGGGGGGACTAATGCTTTCACCTTGACCTTCCAGGCATTTCTGCTCTTCGGTGACTGCCCTCTCCTTGATGCCTTCTCTGCTATGTTGCCAGTGCCAGCAGTGTGCTCTTCTGTCAGGATCCCCAAAATGCCCAGGAAACCAGTGGCAGCTACAGTCCTTACACTACTAAATGACTTCTTGTGTCACCCCATCATCACTGTAGAGTCTGACTTCCCTTTAAGGCCAAAGAAATGGGGAAAACCCCGATGCATTTCCCCACAGAGTTTCCCATTGGGTACTGGGCCCTTGCTTTGGTAGGGCTGAACGTCTCAAGATGGCAACCTCTGGATGATTTTGCAGATACTGGTGAACAGGCAGGCAGTACCGAGTCTGGGTTCAGTGTAAGTACAATGCTGCCCATGAGCTTTGGTGGGATTTGATGCTGGGAGGAAAATAATTGGACAAAATCTGCAGGTCTTTGTGCAGTAATTCGTCCAGTCAGGAGTCTTGCATTGAGTAAAGGGCAGAAGGGCGTTAAGGGTGTTGAGACAGGGCCAACTCCAGATATCATGTCTCAGTATGCACTGTACAAAAAAGTAAAAGATAAAAGAAGTCCAAGATTTCTCTGTTTCAATTTCCTTTAAAGCAAATGAACAGGAGAAAGAAAGGTGTCATTCTCTTTGCTATGCCTAGGAGCCTTTGATAGCCACCCTTAAAGAGGATTAGCTAGATGTGCTGGAGGCATATTCATGAAAGACTCCTAATGGGTTTGGGGGACAGTGCTGATGTGAATGAGTTCCCATTCCATGTTCAGTGTCACGGCTCCACTCCTCATTTTCATGTTCCTATTCTTTACTCACCTGGTTTGAGACATTGCATGTCATATCCAGACTTTGCCTCCATCACCTACACGTCTCCTGCCTCCGCCCACAGCTTAATCTAATATGTCTTCGTGGCTCATCACCTGCCTGAAATTTGATAAAACCAGTGCCTGCAATACATGGCCAAGCAGAGTTTGGATGACCATTTTTTTGAGTTACAAAGCACAGTTTGCCTGGCCAAGGTGGGCCTGTCGTGGATCCAACCTCCCTGTGTTCCTCAAAGGAGTCCACGGTGCACTCCTGAGGGGAGCTCACACTCTGGGGCTGTGAGAAGGGCAAAAAAAGACCTTATCGACATTGCTTTTGACCATGCTAGTGGACATAACCAAGGCAATTGTTGATACCCCCCCACAGGCTTTGATGTTTCAGGTACGTGGGAAGCCACCTGGAAGAGGAATCATGGGCGTGGCCCTGGCTGGGGTGAAGATCCATTTACATGAGGGACCTCCAACTGCACGTCAGCTCCATTTTAGCTTTGACTCTATGGGTAGTAGAACCTGGCCCCAAACTCAGCCATCCCACCTCTCCTAAGACACAGCACAGGTTGACTATGGACCTGAGTGAAGCCCCTATGATACATCTTTATTCCATGTTGTTTGAGCGGGACAAGGGAGGGACAGAAAAGGCTGGGGATGACCGACACCAAAAGGACCTACTTTCTCTCTGTATCACAGAGGGGTGTGCACTAGAGCAAGGTGGGTTGCACGTGTTTCACTGGAAAGTGACATGAGAAATGCATCACAGGTTGGAATTAGAGAAGGGAGACCTGCACACCCATTGGTATCAGTGTATACATCTGGACTGCTCCTCTGGCCTAAAACCAGGTTACATGCAAGGTCATTACAGACGTGATGGCTGAGAGCCAGGATCCTCCCACCCTGCTTGGGAATACCACAGTCTGCTCACCCTCCAAAGCAAAGGCCTCAGCTGGAGGTCTTGTCCAGCCCTGTGGACCTACAAGCTCCCAACCCATTATCTAAAGGATCAGCTGCCACCTACTGCTCAGCAGCATCTTTTCTGGGTGCTGCCTCTGGATGGAAATATGATCTCATGTACTAAGGCAGGGTTGGCATCTTTTGGGGTTTGACCTTTCCATTAGATTTTGTGGTGATTTTTTTAAGGCAAAGGAGGCATCCTGGTTTCTGTTAATTGCACAGCTTCTTCCAAAGTCAAAGATAACCATCC